CAATTTTATAGTATAAATATACATATATATTATATAAACATATTGTTTTTTTACTTTGATGTGATAAATCATCATTTCCACATTTAATAGTCCATAGAGGATCTTTATCAGAGTCATAACCATCAATATTACAATCCAGCAATAACTGTAATTCACTGTCTTCAGCAGATTTCTCAGGATTACTCATACTTGACTGGTTTGATTCAGAAAGGTCTACAAATTAAACAAATTATTAAGTACCTGCTTAACTTAAATTAATTTATTACACAGAATTTTTAAAAATATATATTTATATATTAATTTACAATGCATACCAGAAATATAATCATTAAGACGAGGACAACTATTTGAATTTGCATTAGTAGACATTTTAGTACATCTTTTATTTGAATAATCATCATCTTCTGTACTTGACAAGTCAGATTTTAGAGTTGCTCTTTTAAGTTTTGATCTTGCTTGAGATAATAAACCTAATAGATGAATATTTGTCACCATTACAGTTATTTTTAAAATATTAAGTAATTAAAATCCATATACATACCATATGATTGATTCCCGAGTCTTCGAGCAGGCAAGAAGTAAAAATCATTTTTATTTGGTATGGTTCGTTTTTCAATCAGTTGCTTCACAATTTTGGAATTTTTGGGCCAAGCACATCGTCCTTTGACAACCCATGAGTCGGGAACAGCTTCAATGCTATTATCTTGTAGAAAATTAATTATGATCCACCTTGACATCTAAGAACCAAATGTCAAATTGTGAAACTACTGATGGATATTGGTATATGACAGGGGTGGCCAAACCGCGGCTCGCGAGCCGCATGCGGCTCGCGTCATAGACTTTTGCGGCTCGCATCTTATCGTAACCTTTTTACAAAAAATTTGAAAACATGAATTTATGTATTTGAAAAAGTATAATATTTTATTAAATTACAGTGTATAGAAAAAAATTTGTAAAAATAAAGTGTTCTTGATATAATTTTTCTTCATAGACTATTTTCTTATTTGTTGTGTGTTTATTTTGCATGTAAGCTTTTTAAAATCAGGACTATATGTTGTTAACGCAGTCCTTAACAATTCAGTTAAATGATCATCCGTTAATGTTGATCGATGTTTAGATTTAATCATTTTCATGGTTGAGTATAGAGACTCACAAGAATATGTTGTTCCAAAAATCGATATTAACTTTTGAGCGCAAAGAGTAATTTTTGGATATTTAATAACAGGCACATGTTTCCAAAATTCCAACAAAGAATGACAACTGTATTTGAACTGCTTCAGTCCTTCATCTTCTAATAATTCTAAGAGTTCAATTTCTAAAGCTGCCGTATCCATTGAAATCGATTTTAATATTGGACATCCATTTTCAATAACATTAATGACAAAGGGATTTTCTAAAAATGCAATCGAAGGTTTAAGTAATTTCAAGTCTTTAAATCGATCTTCAAAGTGAGTTGATAAACACTCTAATTTTTGTACATAATCTTCACAATTCAATTTTATTGCTATTCCAACCAAATAATCCTCAATTTTTTTTAAGTACGGAAAATGGTTTAAATTATTTATTCTTAAGTCTCTTTGAAAAAGTTTAAGCTTATTTTGGAAACTAAAAATGTCGTTCTATGAAAAAGAACTCTTCTTCCCATTGTAATTTGAATTCTCTGTGTTCTTCTTCATACTTGCGTTTCTTAGACATAATAATTATTTTATTAATGTTGTGTTGTTACACTTACACGCACGACGTCAAAAAGCACTATGAAGACATAATATCCATTATCCATGTGTGTCTATGTCTGTATGATATTTTTATATTTATGGTATTTATGAAGATAAAATTTAATTTGAGATTATCGTACAATTATTGTTATCGTATTCTTCACATTTTATTAAATACGATACCTTATCTTATTTTATTTACAATATCACATATATATATAAATTATATAGTAATATGTCCTTTTTTTTTTACATTTTGGCTCTTTCATATTTATTAATATATTTGGTGGCTCACGAGTCTCTTCTCGCTGGCCACCCCTGGTATATGATAATAAGATAAATACTTAGGTATAAAACAGCTTAGTTGATAAGATTCCAAAAAAATTATATTCATAATTTTGTTTTAAATATTATAATAGTTATTGTAACAATGTAGAATAATTAGCATATTAATTTACTAAAAAATAAAAATAAATTGACTAGGTAATAATTATTATTTTAAATTTAACAATATGCATGTCGGACCTAATCCATTTACTTTTTAAGTAGGTTATTAAATAATATGGAAATATAATATACATGAAATTTAATATAAGTAGTTTATAAGTATAATAATTGTACAAATAGTATTAATATAATATATAGTAACTGATATAAATAAAAACTATTAAATAGAAGAATGTAAAATTGGCATAGCCACTAATTGATTTTTATTTTTTAAAATCATAACTTTTTTAATAATATCAGATATTTTCCAACTTCTCATATTTTCTGAAAGATTTCCTACTAAAAATATATCCAATTTAGAAGAATCAATTGGTTCACTGAAGAATGGCAAAACTGTTTTAAAATATTTTCCTAAAATTATTATTTCTCCGTCATTGTCTACAATATTGAGGCTTTTAACAACTTGCTTGTCTTTTGTTAAAATATAACTATCATTTTCTTTTTGAATTTGAATTTTTATACTATGGAATGATAAGTTATAATATTGAAGTCCTGTGAGATTTTCAATTAATGGACCATTTGTATGATTTTTTTTAAAGATTTGGTTTTCGGCAAAGGTATGTTTTTGTTTGTTTAAAGTAATATTTTTAGTATTAGAATACCTTTCAAAATATCGGTTAACAATTTGCTGTAAAGGCATTTCATGCTTTCTAATCAATGACTTTAATTCTTTCATATAATTTTCAAATACAAAACAACTGCAATTATCTAGAGGGCCAAATTGATCATAATCATCACATAAATGAAGGAGGCCATGGACATTATGTGATATAAAACAAGTTCCATAAATTAATTGAAATTTTTGTACAAAATAGTCTAATAATTTCCGAGCATATCCAATCAAATATCTATAATCTGGACTTAGTAATATTATCATTGAGATATTTAATACCATAAAATGTGAGTAACATTCTTCATTTTGAACTGTTTTAAGTACTATTGGTCCTAAATATAACAGAAACATCCGATACTCTGTAGCTTTCCAGCGCATGATATCCTGTACACCCCTTATTTTTCGAGCAAAATCAGATGGTAAACAAGTATTCAGAAACAAAAGCAAATTTGATAATTCCTCCATTTTCTTAGCACGAACACGAACTCTTAGCGGACCTTTAGTTAGCCACAGAAGAAGTAATTTTTTCATAACACCAAGACAAACCAGGTGCATGTAATCCAAAGGAAATGATTTTACTATGTCAAAATTGGGCAGTTCTAATAAATTTGATTTAGATTCAGTAGAAATATGATAATCTTCATCCAACCCGGATAAATAAGCTTCATGAGTCCTTTCAACAGATTTTCTACTTGAATATGGGAAACAAACTCTGTTGCGCCAACGGGCCTTACCTAGGGCGTACGCTGGACGCTGAGTTCTCAGGACTTATGGGAGGGGGCACAATACTATGACAATGTTGAGCAATAAAAAACATACATATATTATGATGGTTAACAATAGAAATATACATATATTGGTTTGATACAATGGGGGACAGTAAGGGGCGGGGATCACCGCTCTGGTGAGGAAGTCTTGCGCGGAGCAGCTGATGACGACGACGTTGAGACGTATGACGGGATTTTGTATTCTGCGGGCTGCGCCGACTATGATGAAAATCTCAATTCACAACCAAAATCACCTTTGTCCCAAAATGTGTTTAAGAACACGTGTGTGTGAGGTGGCGGAGCTGCAGTGCGGAGCTGCGGTGTGGAGCAACGGACGTTGAGAGCGAACAAAACAGTCAAAACGGCATTTATGCTATGACGGATCGAAAACACGTGGAGCAACGGGGAGTTGCGAGCGAGCGACCAAAAACACAGCAACCGAGCCGGTACGCGCAAGCACCGGGGCGCGTAGCAACGCCGACGGCGGCATCTCCCGCGTCATTACCACGACCGGGGTAACAGTTACGACGGCAGGGTCACCAACCTTAGGGAATGACCGGTTGCGATCATCACTGCCTGATGAACTCGTAACGCGGCATATATTGTTATCAACAGAAAGGTCGAACATACTCCCCCTTGGAAGTCACAGCTTGGCTTGCAATAGAGAGCTGACCTGGCTGGTTGAGCACTGGAACGGAGCCTTTGAACGTGGCAGTCGATCAGTTGGACGGAGCAGTCGATCAGTTGGGCGGCGCAGACCTGAGCGATGAACGGAGCAGTTGAGCAGAGCAGTTGAGCAGAGCAGATGAGCATTTGAGCAGAGCAGATGAGCATTTGAACGGAGCAGTTGAGCAGAGCAGATGAGCATTTGAGCAGAGCAGATGAGCATTTGAACGGAGCAGTTGAGCGGAGCAGACCTGAGCGATGACCGGGTTTTACAAAGGGGCAACATTGGTCGTTGACCAGTACATATTAAATATAAAATATAAATTTGTCAAAACGTTTAAACATGTAGAACAAAAATAACAAAGGAACAAATGTTAATATCACAAATATAATTAAAGGCCAGACTCGTTACATATTTTTTTTTATATAAACAATAACAATTAGAAATAAAATTCGAGCGAGCGTTATACGAGCAAGTGTTTAGGTTAAAATAAGGAACATGATTTCAATATCACATACAATGTAATGATCAGTCTTTAGTCAAAATATAATTTTTTAAACATAATTAATAGTTACTCATTATGAGCTTAATGAATAGGCTGAGCAGCCGACGGAACATGAGGTAACAGGCGAGGTGGAGTACAAAATAATTAATTTGTTACAATATGAGCATAGCAATAACATACAAGTCTTAAGTGTACACGAGAACTGGATCTAGGAAAGGACTAATGGCTACGGATCTGTAGGTAATAGTACTAACTTAACTACTGGTCTAGTGAACACTCCTTGGGTCGTGATTATCTTAGCTACACGCACTATCTGGTCGGTGCCCGGGTACACCTCTATAACTCTACCCAATGGCCAGGAGAGAGGGGGGGCATCTTTGGTCTTAACTATTACCATATTACCAACCTCTATGTTATTTTCTGTCTTGGTCCACTTTCCACGAGCTTGGAGAGTGTTTAAGTATTCCTGAGACCACCGTCGCCAAAAGAAGCGAAACGACTGCTGGAGGAGCTTCCAACGAGTCTGCACCGATTTTGATGCCTCAGGCGGTTCTGAATCTGGCATTGAGAGCAACGGCCTGCCGATCAAGAAATGGCCGGGGGTCAAACATTCTAAGTCATTCGGGTCAGAAGACACGGGTACGAGCGGCCGTGAGTTCAGAGCAGCTTCCACCCTACACAAGACTGTGGTGAACTCTTCTAACGTCCATACCTGAGCGTTCATGGTACGAAGAAGTAAGGACTTGGCCGACTTAACTGCCGCTTCCCAAATCCCACCAAAATGGGGAGCACCTGGGGGATTGAAATGCCAATCACATGGTAAATGGCCTGCGATCCTTTCTCTCTGATCTGAGTGATTGATCAACCGCCTCAATTGTTTTGCAGCACCGACGAAGTTGGTACCACAATCGGAGTAGATGGACGAAGGTTTTCCCCGACGAGCAACGAACCTATCCAACGTCATCAAGAAAGCTTCTGTCGACAGAGCAGAGACAGATTCTAAATGGACCGCCTTTGTGGTCATACACACAAATACTGCAATATACACCTTACAGATCCGAGCCTTACGGAGACTCAACTCCTTCATCTGTAATGGCCCGGCATAGTCAATTCCGACTACGGCAAACGGATGAGCTTCCTGAACCCGAAAACCTGGCAGATCAGCCATCATGGGTTGCGGGTTGACAGCGGCAACTCTAGCACAAACTGTGCACTTTCGGATCACACGGTGAACAACAAGTCTGATGCCCACTACCCAAAACCTCCTCTGAACTAGCGCGGTGAGCAACCGAGGGCTAGCATGGCAAGCAAAGTGGTGCCAGTGACGAACTATGAGTACCGCCAAGTGAGACTCTTTTGGTATCAACATAGGGTGCATCCGACGCTCCGACCAATTGGAGTTTTGGAGACGACCCCCTACACGGACTACCCCGACAGGATCAACAAACGGAGAGAGGCGAGCGAACCCTTTGTGAGGAGCATCATCTCCTTTGGCCAAATGCGAAATTAAATCGCAAATAAAATAGTTCTGGGCACTTCTCACGACCTTGATCAAGGCACAATCTAATTCTGACTGCCTCAAGAACCCTTTCTCGACATTCTTCTTGCGGCACAACAAAATGAAACGCTGCAATTGAGCTACTACCCGAATCAATTTATCAAAGGAAGAGAACCGAGCGTACCATTCTATTGGGGGATCACCCTTCGCCAATAAACATACCGGCCGAACTTCCGGTAAGTGAGCTAAGTTTACTCTGGGAATTTTGCCTTTCCAATCTTCAACGGGCGATGACAGAAACTTTGGACCCTCCCAAAACAGAGCGAAGTTTTTGAGATCTGAAGGCGAAAGTCCCCTCGACGCACAATCAGCAGGATTACTTTCCGAACGAACATGGAGCCACTGACAATTTGGAATGATTGACTGAATCTGGTATATCCGGTTGGACACAAATGTCTTGAACGCTGTATGCGGATTACTCAACCATGACAGCACTACCCAGATAGCAAAATTATAACATAATAACATTATTATATAATTACATTTGTAATGACTAATATTTTTTTATCATTACAATTTAAGTATATCTACATTAAAATATTGTTTTAATAATATTTTAGTATTATTTTTTGGCCTGGGTTTAATTATTATTATAACATCTCATATATAATAATATTATAATAATACAAACATAATATTTTTTTAACAGCTAAAAAACATTATTCATATATTATTAATACATTATTTTATAGCTAAAAAACTGAGTTTAAAATTATGGTTTTGTAACTACTTCTCCAATTTTCAAATTAGTTGTAGGGCAACTATTTATTATAGCGTGGAATTTAATAAATTAAGAACTTTTATTAATATTATATTATTATTTATTAATATATTCAATTAATATAATATAATATTCTTAGACTATATATACATATTATAGTACAATGTGCTTATATTGGTATTGCTGTTATAAGCCATAATGATGATGTTATACTATGTATAGTTTACATTATAACTTTAAAAACAATTTACTCTCTGATATTATAACTATGAAAATATTTAAGAAAGTAATAATAACAGTTACCTATAGGAAAATACAAAATAATAAGTAGATGGATGGATAAATAATAAGTAGATGGATGGATAAATAATAAGTAGGTAATAAAATAAAAAATACTATTTGAAATATGTATACTTGTCTTTATTATTTATAGCAACTAAAAATTCAATGTACATAATAATATATTGTAAGTGAACGCACTACAATACTTTTTTCTTTCTAAATGCTGCACCGGCTAAGTAAATTTTCATTGGTCCCTCAATTTCAGAGTTTGTTGCACTTTCGAATGCTTTAATTTTTCTTACAGCTTCTAACATGGGAAACAATAGATAATCATATTATTATATAAATAAAATAATAAATAGTAATAATTCATAATGATTATTGACCAACAGTTAATGGTTGTAGCTATGCAAAATATGACTTATACAAAAATACTGTATTTTTCAAATTAAGAAATATATTTTAAGAACTTATAAGAAAGCTGGGCTGCAAGTTAGTCACTTTTTTCAACTAGTTAAAGTTAAGTTACTTTAATATAAAAAGTAACTAATAAGTTAGTTTCAGAAATTTACCAAATTTCTAACTTAGTTGGATAGAAGTTAGTTTGGTGAAAATAGTAACTTAAGTTAGAGTTAAAGTTAGAAGTTAGTTTTTTTTTCAGTTTAAAATATAAATTTAAAAAACCATTTTTTCAAATGTGTAATGTATATACAATGTGTTCCTTGGGGGAACTGACCGGTCGACGTCGTATGAAAGGTATACCAAAAATAATGAATAAATACACTTTAAAGAGTGGGTCTAACTTTTTTATTTTTAAAGTTATTAGAAATTAACTTTTTTTTATCAAAACCATACCTATCACGCATATACTTATAAACTAATGAATTTATTAAGTAAGTAGGTAGATAACTAAATTAAATTATTGGTGATGAATGAAAAATTAAATTGAACAACTGTTAACTGATGATTTGATCAAATATGTATCAAATATATAGGTAATAACCTTAATTTCTTGGAATATCAGTCATTAGAATACAACAAAATAAGAAATTGAAACATTCAATAAATGAAAAATAAACTACAAAAATAACTAGTTAGATACTTATTATTTTTAATGTAATTTTCCTGTTCTAATTCTCCTGTTCTAATTTCTATTTAATAACTAGTTATTATTTTTAACGAGTTAGATTAGATTATTTTACACATTAAATTCAACTAGTTAAGTTTCTAACTAGTTATTAGTGCCCACCTTTGACTTATTATAACGTAGATTATCAAGATCAATTCAAAATTTTAAATATATTTCAAATACATAATAATATTTACAAAATTAATGTGTATAACGTATAAAAAATTTTATATTATTTAAAATAATTTGAAAAAACTATCCAAATATAATTACGTCATATTCAATTTATTTATTTAAGTTATTTAATTAAATAGTTATTCAAAAATATCTTCATTTAGAAAATCATTTAACTAACATCTTAACATTTATTACAAAAGGGAAAAAAAACTATTGAGTATATATTGTTGGAGTTAAATTCACTATTAAAGTTATTTTTACTTAAAATATGTTTCAAACTCTTGAAATCTATTTTTATAGAAAGTAAAATAACACCAACCAGGTGTTAATAATTACTACATTAATAATTATAAGTTTATCACTATACAATTGGTGAACCTATAAGTACTAAATATATTTAATAAACAAGCTGAACTTGTAAATTAGAACACATTTTCAAATAATATTTACACAATTTCTTACCAATAATTATAGAGCATGAACCTAAAGAAGAAAAAATCTTTTTCTTTTTCTGTCCAACAAAGCTGTACATTTGCAAAATATCATCCTCAAAAATTTTTCTTAACATTTGCCTTATAGTACCTGTTAATGTCTTCTTCGCTAAACGTTTGAGACCATTAACCTATGTGACATATAATGCATAATTTAGAAAATAAATATTAGTCACATCAAATACATAAATTAATTTATAACTATATAAAAATATATTATTTATATAATAATATATACTCTGCAAAATTACTTACAATGTTCTTTCTAAAATTTTTGTTTTGCAACTTTGTCTCAAATTCATCTAATTGATCTTCATTTTCTATCGGTAGAAATGAATCATATTCAAATGATTCTCCAGAATTATTTTCATTATCCTTTGCTTGAAGCACAGTGTCAGTTAAAATTTTGTCCATCTGAAGTTGATTTTGGGCAATTGTCTCTACATCATATTTGATTTTCAATACAACTCTTAAAATTTTATTCATAACATCTGAAACAAACATGAAAATATATATTATGCTCTTTAAATATAAGATTTATTACACAGAAGTTAAAATACTTGAAGTATAGACCATTATTGATATTACCATTTGATTCAGAAGTTTGTGCTAAGCAGTTATTTTGTAATTTGAGTTTGTTCTGTATATTAGTAGACACCTTTTTAAAAGATGACTGTAAATTGACATCTGTAAACAAATTTAAACAACTTCAACTTCATTTTAAATAACACAAAATTAGAAGTAAATATTATATTTTAATAAATAAAAATAATATTGTATGAAAAACTAAGTTCTATTACCAGCTAAGTCCAATAATTCATAATTCGGGTAATCATCACTTGTAATATCTTGTACAGCTTCGGAAACTTTAAAAGGAGATGACGACGTGTGGATAATTCCGGTACACAGGGCTCTTTTAGGCTCTACTATATAAATATAATATATATATTAGTATAAGATTAATTTGTGTACCTATAAATATAACATTTAAAATTTTAGTTTTATTTTTAAAATTATTTCAATTTACCAATTTTTGGACTAGATGATGTTTCAGATTCACTCCGAGATAAGTTAAACAAATCATGTTTTTTAGGCGTAATTATTGTAGAACCTGACAATCAAACAATTATCAATAAAAATTAATTTTTTTTAATTTGATAGAAGTGAAATAAATCAACTAAATAAACTATAATTTTATACTTATATACCTTTGATAGAAGTAACCGACATGGGTGAATTATTTACATCAGACTCGTGATTATATCTATTTGATGTATTAATAATATGCTCTCGAGGTAATGCTATAATTAATGTAAAGATAAATACAATTAAATTAAATAGTTTCACAAAGTAAAACTAAAATATATCTTTGTACGAGTAAATTAATGTTATATTTGAATTTTCTAAAATACCTGCAATAGGACTGGATGAGTTTCTATCAAAAAGCTTTCTTTTTGCTTTTAAAGGTAAACTGTAACTTGCATTTTGATTGTTTGATTCATATTTATTTTTATGACTTTGCTTAAATTCAACATCTATAACATTTATAATAAATAATGTGTATGCACATTAACATATTATAATTTTTAATTACAATATACCTAATTGACTAAAAGATGAACGATCAATACTATTTGAGTTTTTCTTTTCTTTAATTTTTGGACGACCTAAGCTGTGACTTTTTGGTATAGTTTCATTTATTGTAGCATTAGATTTGGGTGAAATACCTGTAAAATGATTAAGAAATGTACACAAATTGTGTAAATAAATTAAATATTTCAAGACAATCATATTTTTATTTTAAGTTCTGAGTGTAACAAAAGAATATATTGATTTTATTATCACAATATTCACATGTTCTGTTGTAAAGCATAACCTAAATACACTGTAGTTACAGTAGTTAAGTAGTTACTTCAATCAACCAATTAAATAAATAAAATGAGTACTAAAGTTTAAACATACTTTTGTTATAGGAATACATTGGAGGATCTAATATTTTTGATTTGTTTGTACGAGATTTTGAAATCTCATCATCACAAGTGGATAAGTCTGAGGTATGCTCAGCCTTTTTCAGTTTTGCTCTAGCTTCTGTTAGAGTAGCTAAAAATAATAATTAAAATTAGGAATTATGATATTAGATATATATAGAATAATTGCTTTTTTTATTATAATGGCAATAATAATTATTAAACTAATTTACTTCAAAGTATGAAAAATCATAAATTATAATAGGTTTAGTAAAAAATAATAATAGCCAATTCACCAATATTTTTCTTTAAAGTTCTTGATGCAAAATAGTTGAAATCAAATTTGTTGGCTAATACTCTACGTTCAACATTTTTTTTGACATCTTTTTTGGGCCAGGCACAAACATTATTTTTAACCCAGTGTGCTGGATCGACTTCGATAGTATTTTCATTTTCAAATACTACTATTGACCACATATTTATACAAACTCTGAAAAAATGTAGTTATTAAAATTATTTAAAAGTGGTTCTAACTGTTTTTAGTAATAATAGTAATTAGCATATTTTGTTGTTTATAGATGTTGTTACTACAATAAGCTACCTACTACATTTATACATTTTTAATTTAATATTAATATGAAAAAATATAGGTATACCTATTATATTTTAAATCGCCAACCAAAAATCATACAATTCACATA